AATACAGGAATTAAGAAGCATAACTGGTAGGAAGAAAATTGACAGGGGGAAGTTAAGAACAGCATATGAAATGGAGAAGCCACAGAACTTACATGCGGACTCATGGACATGAACTAAAGGGAAGGAGGGTACTAGGTGGAGGGGAGCAAAGGAAGAAAAAATTGGAACAATTGTAATAGCATAATCAATAACATATACTTAAAAAAATAATGTATCATCAGTTGTAATAAATGTACCACACTAATGCAAGACAGTAGTAACGGGAAATTGCACATGGGGAAGAACAGGTACACAGGAACTCTCTGTATGATCCACCCATTTCGGTCATATTGCTACGTAGATAACTTTTTAAATTATCATGGACAGTTCCACTTCCAGGTATATACACAAGAAAACTGAAAGCAGGGACTTGAAAATATATCTGCACGCCCAGGTTTACAACAGCATTGCTCACAACAGCCAAAAGCTGGGAACAACTAAAATGTCCACAGATGGATGAATGAACAAACAAATGTGATACATACACACAATGAAATAGTATTCAGCCTTGAAAAAGAAAGACTCCTGACAATGCAACCATGTAAACAGTGACGACATTATGCTAAGTTAAATACACCACATGCAAAAGGACAAATAGTGTGTGTTTCCACCTATATGAGGTGCCAGCGTCATCAGATTCACAGAGATGGAACGTAGAATGGTGGCCGCCAGAGCTGAGCAGAGGAGAGAACTGGGAGTTACTGTTTAATGGGTACCGAGTTTCAGCGGGAACGGTGAAAAAGTTCTTGCCCTGGCCTGGTGGCTCAGTGGGATGGAGTGTAGTCTCGTACACTAAAAGGTTGTGGGTTTGATCCCCGGTCAGGGCACATGCCTGGGTCTCGGGTTTGGTCCCCAGTCCCACGGGTTTGGGGGGCGTAACAGAGGCAACCGATTGGTGTTTTTCTCTCACACGGATGTTTCCTTCCCTCTCGTTCTCCTTCCCTTCCCCTCTCTCTAAAAATAAACAAATAAAATATTTTTTAAATTATGACAAAAAGTGCTGAAAGGCTGGTTATGCCAATTGAAAAACACATTATCTCTCTTCGGCATACCACATAAAAACTTCACACTGAAAGCAAAATTTATTTTTTTAACTTTAGAAGGAAATACAGAAATATGTAATTCATACCCTGAGGTGAAGAAAATTTACTTAACCAGACACACATTTTTTTTTAATTTAACGGAATTTTCTCATAAACATAACACGAAAATTTAAAACTTGTATACAAGCAAAGACACTGTGAGCGAGGGGGAAAGGCAAGCCTCAGACTGGCGAGGTGCCTCACAGCACATACATCCGTCAAAAAAATTAGTATCCAAAATAATCTAACCGTCCCTCACTGAGTGAAGGCAACACAAACCGTAAACGGTCCTTTCAGTCTCCAACTGAACACTATTCAGCAGTTTTTTAAAAAATGAATCAGATCCACACGGAGCACCATGGTTCAGTCTCCAGCAACTAAAATTGTAAATGTGCGCCCCTTTGACCCGGCAAGCCTGCCTCTGGCTCGCTGCAGCACCGCCCGGGACCACAACACCATGCACGCTTCACGGGAGTGTGTTGAGCAGCCAGGAAGGACCAGGGAGATCCCCACGTCTCACCGGGAAAGACCTCAGACGCTCTGGGAACAGGCTGCAGAACAGTGTGTACAGCGGCCCGACACGAACGTGAGGAGTGTGGGGCAAGTCTGCTTCTTCCCGTATCACCTGTATATGGATGCAAACGCACAGAGACAGGTCGGGAAGAATCACAACAAACTGTTAACTACAGTTTCAGCGAAGAAGGGAGTGCACCAGGGAGGGTTGTACCGTGTCCATCCTGTGTGCCTGAGTACTTTGCAAGAGCGCGCGTTCGTGAGCCCGCTGCGGACTTCGGCCCCCGGCCCCGCGGACTGAGCCCACACAACCCCAGGAGCTGCCCTGCACAGGGACTCTGCTGCGGACAGCGCCCCCTAAAGCCGGGCAGTATGCATCCTGCACAACTAGACACCACGTCCCTGATGCTTGTGTAATTAGAAATTAAAGAAGGGGGAGGGGCCTGCAAACCAGAGGGAGGGAACTTTCTGGAGTGACGCCGGGTTCTATAGCCTGACTGGGATAGTGGATACAAAGTATACACATTTTCAAAACTCGTCCTACTGTACATGGACATCTATGCCCTTTATATGTACACTATCCATGAATAAAGTCGATTTTAAAATAAATGCAAATTAAATACATAAATAAAATACAGTATCATTGGGAGAATCTGGAAAAAGGTACCCAAATTACAAGACCCCAAACAAGAATTGGCAGTCACCTGCTGGATGCACTCTGAGGTACACAGTATGAAAACTACAAAGAAATTAACTTCACCCTGGCTGGCATAGCTCAGTGGATTGAGCACGGGCTTCGAACCAGAGGGTGGCAGGCTAGATTCCCAGTCAGGGCACATGCCTGGGTTGCGGGCCAGGTCCCCAGTGAGGGCCACATGAGAAGCAACCACACACTGATGTTTCTCTCTCTCTCTCTCTTTCTCCCTCCCTTCCCATCTCTAAAAATAAATAAATAAAATCTTTAAAAAAAAAGAAATTAACTTCATTCTACAAGACCAATCACACAATGCCAAATTTGGATTAATGTGACCTGATTTTTTTTTAAATGAGGAAACAAAGGTCCTTAGAGATTTCTAGTAAGGATATAAAATAAGGGGCAACTCAGCATTCTACTGGTTGTACGTCTAATTTTCTAAGTAGAAACTCTGTCTCTCGCAGAGTGGACTCTTGAAAACCTCGTCAGCACTACTCTGACTGCACAACCCCCTTCTAAGGGAGCTCCACTTCTGTATGATAAAAATCCTCACAGACCTCATGAAAGGTCAAGTTTTCACCTGGCAGACAAAGTAACCAAACAGGCACTGCAGCCCCGGGAACGGAAACAGCAGGCTGGAGCCGCGGAGTCCAGAAACCCAACCGAGGCCGGGAGCAGGCAGAACTCCAGCCCATGCAGAGGAGAAGAGATACGCTCCTTCTCCTGCTACAGACCTACAGTCCACGAACCAGGATTAACGTTTTAAAAAAAATAGTGTTCCCTAGACAAAAGTACTCTTCTTCAAGTGACAGAAAAGAGAAGGGATGATTTGAAGCAATGGGCCAAGGACTAAGTTTTCCTGACGGGCCACCCTGCAATTAGCCATGGTTTTAAATGCCCAGGCCTATGAACCTGGGTTACCTTCCATGCAAAAAAAAAAAAAGGGGGGGGGGTGGACATTAGGAACAGGGGATGTCCATCAGCCATCCAGAGCGAGTAACACTGCTCTGTGTAATAATACATAGCAAAACCCTGCCTGCTTCATTCATTCAGGCAATACACATTTCTTGCTCAACTGCTGTCGGGCCAGGCACTGTTCTTGTCAGTGAGGATTGATTTATTTTCAATTTACTTTTTGTTTTTCAATTACAAATACAATTAGTATTTTTTTATTGTTGTTCATGTACGGTTGTTTACATTTACCCCCCACCACTCCCCCCGGGGCCCTAGCCATCCCCACCTCCCTCCCCTGCTTCCACTGCCCCCTTGGTTTTGTCCATGTGTCCTTCATAGTTGTTCCTGAAAACCCTTCTTTCCCGCCTTCCCTCCCATTATCCCCTCCCACCTCCCCTCTGGTTACTGTCAGATTGTTCTTAGTTTCAATGTCTCTGGTTATATTTTGCTTGCTTGTTTGTTTTGTTGATTAGGTTCCACTTAAAGGTGAGATCATATGGTATTTGTCCCTCACCACCTGGCTTATTTCACTTAGAAAAATCTACGGTACATTTCCACGGGGGAACACCACGCAGCAGAAAGGAGGGGCTCCTACCCTTCGCAACAGCATGGATGGAGCTGGAGAGCATTATGCTAAGTGAAACTGTCACTGAGGATTTAGCAGTGAATAGTCATGGAGCTTAATAATAGTAGGGAAGGAAGGGAACTTCTTTTCTCTTTTCAAATTTTTCCTTCTTCCTCCCTTTAAATGTTACACAGCAGAGCCTTCAAAAACAACACCCTGTTTCTCCCACAAGCTTCCTTGACCCTCCTGCTTTATCTTCAAACCAAGTCATTTAAGGCTCCAATGTTCCAATACTGGGGAAAGAGGAGAGAGACCTCAGGTGAACGAGGTGTGAGACAAAATTCAACGCTGCTTTGTATTTTATGCGCCTACTGTCACAAACGAATTGTTAGCACCTGAACAGCGAGTTATGGTTGTGTCTGATACTACTTTGTGGTCCCAGTGCCGACCGTGGTTTTCTACCCGCGGCAGCTCGCTCATCAATAAACGTTTGCTAAGAACGCTGGAAGGTCTTCGTAATCCCAAGGCCTGGCACAGAAACTGAACAGCACGCAGTCGTTAGCCGCATCCTCTCTCCTCCCAGCACACCTTCCTCCCACGGGTGACCCGGTGCGCAGGTTCATTGTTAGGCACCACGGGAAACAGTGTTTTGGGGTGATCTGAAATAAATTCCCTTCCCTCTGCCAGGGCCTGCCTGCCTCACCTGCCCTCTGCCAGGACCTGCCTCCTTTGCCCCCTTTCAGCACCTAAAGCAGAGCCTCCTTCCAGGGAGCAGGGCTCCAGCAGCATCAGCCCGGCGCCCGCACCCCGAGTCTGCGCCCGACGGCCACAGCGCGCTCGGGAACCCGGAGACCCCCTCCCCGGCCCGGGGTTCAGAGCCCGGCAGCGCCGGCCCGGGGCTCCGCTCCATCCCCTCCGCTCGCCCCTCCAGGGCCGAGAGCGCGGCGCCGTCTCCTCTCGCAGCGCGCGCGGTGCAGCGGCCCCGGCTCCCCGCGCGCCGTCTCCGCCGCGCCTGGCCCTGCACCCACGCAGGATCCCGAGGTCCGGGGGTTGCGCGAGCGCCTTCCCGTTCCCCGCGGGCGCGAGGCTCCAGCCCCGCGCACCCCTAACGCAGCCGGCGGCCGCCGCCGCGGCGGATCCCCACCTTACTCACTTCCCGGCCGGAGCAGGGGGCGTCGAGAAGGTCTCCCGCGACCGCAGCCTCCTCCGCCACCTCCGGCCCGGAGTTCGCGGCAGAGACGGCACCAGCGCTCCCAGGCCCCGGAGCCGCCCCCGCGGCGAACGTTCTCAGCGCCCGGCTCGCGCCGCTTCCCCGCCCGGCACGCGCAGCGAGCCCGCCCCCGGTGCGAGGGCGCGAGGACTCGGGGCTGGAGGCGGGCGCGCGCCGCCGGCGCGAGCGCGCGTTGGGGGCGGGCTTCCGCCGCGCCGGGGCGGGGGCGGGCGAGCGTCTGGGTTCCCGTCGAGCCCCGCCCCCTGCGGCCGGGGGGGCCCGGCTCCCCCGCTGGCCTCGGGGTACGTGGAGGGCAGGTGAAACGTGTCCCCTGCGGACGTCTCCCGCACGCTGACGGCGGGCGGCAGAGGTGCGTTTCGACTCTGCAGGTATTTGCCGGGCTAGCTGGACACTCCGCCCGACGTGACTGCAAGGTAAAGAATGCAAAGAACCACCCCATGAATCATTCATCCACTCCTCGAGATCCTCCCCTGAATGGCTTTTCCAAATTAATTCAACTCAGCAAGCGTTTACCGAGCACAGACTCGGTACCTAGCGCTGTGCCAGGTGCTGGGTGGGTACACCATCCCGGTCACGGTCCTTGGTCTCGAGGAGCGCACAACTTGGTGGAAAAGCAGCCGTACAAACAACCCGCGCTGGTGACCCGTGCAAAGCCAGCCACAGTGAGATGCTGCGGAGGGCTTCGGAGCAAGAGATGACCTCCGCTTGGACCGCGGAGACAGGTTCCTAGAAGAGGTGGCATTTGTGTTCAGCCTTGAAGGTGGCATTTGTGTTCAGCCTCGAAGAGGCTTTAGTAGAAAAGGGGACGGGCATCGAAGACTAGGAAAACAGCTTGGGCAAATGAGCAGAAGGTTGCCAAGGTTTCCTATCTCAGCATCAGCTTTTTTGTTTTAATATTACACAGTTTTGATAGAATCCTTTCCAAACCATGTAAAACGTAAGATGATTCCAAGTGAGAGACGGCGAAGCTTTTTTAATGACTCCAAGAACCATTTTCCTCAACGCTCTTGAAGGCTGAAAACAGCAGTGTGCTTTAAGGACTACTGCATGTGAGTGAAAAGTGCTGAATTCCTCAGTGCAGAGACCCAGAGCCAGCCTGCTCCCAGTCTGGTTATTGACTGCTTTTTGGCACCTTGTGGTAAGGCAGATCGAGCACCTCCTGTTGCTGTCTGCCTGCCTTCGGAACAAACTCTTCCTCCTCCTCTCATCTTCCTATTTTTAAACTCCTATGGTGAAGGAAAAATGCTGGCAACCAACTTTGTTGAGTGGGAGTAAACAGATTCCTCAGAAAAAGGCATCACCTTTCACGTGGGACCCTCACGACAACTTTGCGCGCTTGGAAGACGTGATGGCTTGCACGCTTGCATGCGGGGCCTTGACTGCTTTCTGTTAAGATGCTAAGAATACGGAGAAGAGACATCTCGTTTATTCATTTACCACTTTTGAGCACCAACTGTGGAGGAGGCATTGAAAGGGTAAAATATTGATCCTATTCTGTGAAAAAAAGATGTGTAAATGATGTAAGATAAATATGTAAATATTGCTTTAAATATTTAAATATTTGCCCTACTGGTGGAAACCAAGGTAATTTCAATATGTGGGCCAGACTGTTATATACCATTCTGGGAATCGACTACTTTAAGGACACTCATTAGCATTTCCCTATCTATGTTCTGTGTTTCATCACCTCCTGAGTCCTCAGAAAACATTTTTCAAACATATTTCAATGATTCTCCCTGCTCTCTGAAAATCAACAATTCCTTTCTTACCTACTTGTCGTATTCCTTCAACATCTATTCATGTTCAAGCTTTTCCTGTCCCAAAGAAAAAGGAAGAGCCCCGGCCGACGTGGCACAGTTGGCTGGAACAACGTCTCTCATACCGAAGGTTGTGGGTTCAATTCCTGGTCAGGACGCATACCTAGGTTATAGGACGCATTCTGTTCCCTGGGCGGGGCGCCTGCGAGAGGCAGCCTATCCATGTTTCTTTCTCACATCGATGTTTCTCTCCCTCTCTCCCTTCCCACCCCTCTCTCCAAAATCAGTAAGCATGCCCTTGGGTGAGGATTTTTTTTTAAAAAGAAAAAGGAAGAAAGCCCTCTGTCATTCTTGATTGCGCCATAGTTATTGCTCTGTCTCTGTAAGTTCTTTCACAAACACTTTGAAAGTAGCTTATCTCAGCCAACTGAGCAGCTTCTCTCTCCTCACCTCGTGGCTATGTAGCTTTTTCCCCACCCTGTCACAGCACTTCCCTCGGTCATTCTGGTTGGGTAATCCTAAATGCCCCAGGCCACTCTGAGAGCATTCCACTCCCTTGCAACGCCAGTTGTCTTCACAACCTGACTCCTCTGCTAACCCTTGAGACCGCGCCCGTCTCCGGTCTGTCATCTCACTCCGTGCATTCTCCCTGAGTCACCCCATTCACTCCGTCTTCATCGGCCACCTTTATCAGCAACTCCCAGATGCAGTATCTGGCTCAGACTAGTCATTGGAGTTCTAGATACACAAAAGCCTGCCAGACTTACCTACCCGAATGTCCTGGAGACCCCTCCGGCTCCACAAGTCCCGAACTGGTCAGCATTACCGTCCACTCGGATGCCCCATTCAGGAACCTGGGAGTCATCTGTGATTCCTCCCTCCCTGTCCCCATGACACTCAACAACCCTGTTGATTTTGCCTGTCAATAACTCCAGAATCTGTCTCTCTTAGCCCCTCTCTCCTAGGCTCACATCATAGCCTGTTATCTTGTCTCCCTCGTAGTCGTGTTCCTTCCCATTCACATTCCATGCTGCACGTCAGGAGAAACGTGCTGTCGTGGTGTCGCCGCTCAGTGCGGCGCACAGACCCTCCATCCATCTCGCCCTGGGCTGTCCTGCCTCTCCCTGCACACACCCCACCCAAACTGCTGGGTGTCTCTCTCTGGAGTGCCACCTGAACACAAGCAAAGAATGTCCAAAATATGTGTAGCTGAAGTTCCTGGTATAATGAAACTATTATTCCAGAAACTTTCTGGAAATAAGAAAATGTAAATCTACATAATGAAAGGACCCACAGGAGCTTGAGGAAATGACCACAGTGTGATCGATTCTGAGAGCTAGCATCGTAAAGTGGTTAGACAAAACAATAATAATAACGGTCTTCCAAATCTCCGCACAGAAAGTTCAAATTGCTTAAAAGGGTAAGAACACCAGGCTGCCGGACATCGCCCTGGCTGGCGTAGCGCAGTGGATTGAGCACGGGCCTCGAACAAGGCATGGCAGGTTCGATTCCCAGTCAGGGCACATGCCTAGGTCATAGGCCATGGCCCCCAGCAACTGGACATTGATGTTTCTCTCTCTCTCTTTCTCCCTCCCTTCCCTCTCTAAAAATAAATAAGTAAAGTCTTTAAAAAAATTTAAAAAAAAAAGAATACCAGGCTGCCGGACATCAAAGGTGGCTGCACATTCCCTGTCACTTCTGTCATTCCAGGCTGGCCCAAGTGAATTGCTTGACCAATGGAACGAGGGAGGTTATGTATAGGACTTCCACGTGTAGGTCATGAGAAGTCTTGAAGAGCCCATCTGGGTCTTTGGGAACACTAGCTCTCGAAGCCCCGAGCCGCTGTGTGAAATATCTCACTCTCTGTGCAGAGGCCTGGAGACGGCACAGAGCAGGAGGGGGCCTGGCCGATCCTAGCTAATATGAGTGAAGTCATCACGAATGCCTTGTATCAGGCCAGCCATCGGCTGAATACCACTGAGTGGCCCCGGTCAAAGTCACATGCAGCAGAAAATCATCCAGCTGAACCCTGCCCAACTTCCTGACTGCAAAGATTGTGAAATTATCATAAAAACAGCCCTTACTTTAAGTGATTACTTTTTAGGATACATAGTTTGTTATGGAGTCTGTTAACCAAAGTATTTGGCATCAGACTCCTCAAACGCCAAACAAGGCAAATAATGACGCAGAACTTTCTCAAGACTCAAGGAAACGAAATGCAAGTTAAGGATTTTCTATCCACCATGCCATTTTGCAAACATCAGAAGCCATAGAGAAAACTCTCTAAAGTGCAATCATTCAAGGAGCTAGGCACATAAGCCCATCCCGAGCACTACAACGGGGATCAGCAATTTTTTTTCTAAAGCACCAGACAGTAAACATGTTGCAGGCCTAACAATTCTACTCGGCCACAGCAGCACAGAAGGAGCCATAGAGGACATGCAAATGAGTGGCTGTGGCTATGCCCCATGTAAACTGGGTTTACCAAAATAGGCAGCAGGCTCGATGTGGCCCATGAACTGCAGTTTGCCACTCCTTTATGAAAGGAAAAGAAATAGAGGAAGTTATTTCAAAAAAAGTACAAAGCCCATGTGATCTGAGAAAATAGCATGCCGTGACCCAGCAGGGTGTATGCGTCAGTCTGCTGGAACGGCTGGAACGAAGCCCCACAGACTGGCCTAGGGAGCAGACATGTGTCTCTTCACAGCTCTGGAGGCTAGAAGTACAAGATCAAGGTGTTGACAGTGTTCGTTTCTTCTGAGGCCTCTCTCTCTGGCTTGTAGGTGGCCACCTTCTCCCTGTGTCCTCACAGGGTCTTCCCTTTGTACAGGGAGCATCTGTGTCCTAGTCTCTTCTCACAAGGACACCAGTTGTTCTGGAGTAGGGCCCCCCAATGACCTCATTTCAACTCAATTGTATCTTTAGAGACCTTACCTTCCAATGCAGTCACATTCTGCAGGCCTGGGTAGGACTTCAACTGCCTAAACATAAAAGCGGTAACTACAAAACTGTCAGACAAAAACATGGGGGTCAATCTTCATTACTCTGGGTTTGGCGAAGCCTTCTCAGATACAACACCACAAGCACCAGTGGCAAAAGAAAAAATAGGCAAGTTGTACTTTGTCAAAATGTAAAACTTTCGTGCATCCAAAGACACCATTTAAAAAGTGCAAAGACAGCCTACAGAATGGGAGTAAATATCTGCAAATAATACATAGGATAAGAATATCCAGATACCCAGAATACCCAGAATATATATATATATTTTAAAAACCCACTACAGTTATAAAACAAATAACCCAGCTGAAAGTGGGGAAGTGATTCAAGCAGATATTTCTTCAGAGAAGATGGTCAGTAATCCCATGGAAAGACGCTCAACACGATTAGC